CCACATTCAACCTAGCTCACGTCTTACTTGTGTAAATATATTGCATTTCATGTACTGACATCCTAAACTAAAGTGTAGAAAAAAAAAGAGTATCGACTGAAACTAAAATAAAATTAGGGTTCCTACGTAACAGTAAAAAATGACATATCTTTTTTAAAAAATTGCTACAGGAAGAGAAAGACATATTTACATTCTGGAGGTTTTAAAAGAAAAAAGAAAAAGAAAAAAAGTTTCATACAGCAGCACATAATGAAAGGAGATGTGAGTAGCATACTCATAAGAGAATACCTTTATCCTGTAGCAAAGAATATACATGTTATAGACTTAACAGGTATACACTGAAAGGAAGTGTAAATTTACCCAACAATTTCTTTTTAAAACGTATATAAATAAAACACATAACATTATAATAACAACAGCATATCATTGAAAGAACTAAGACAAAAATCTGACCTTCTTGAAACACAGGTCCTTTCATAGTACTATTAAAAAAAGAATATTAATTAAATCTCACCTTCCATATTTTCCTTTTTCTCTTATCAAAACCTGCAGATTACACAATAACATAGGATATAACTTGTACCAGAAAGCACAGTAATCTAATATGTACTTCCAAACACATTGACACATTTAATACAATGAAATATACTTGATTTAATCTATCATTTAGTACACAGCGTAAAGAGGATTTTATTTTCTTATTTTTGTTTTTTTCTTGTTTTCTTTTCTTTTTTTTTTCTTTTAAATTTTTTATATTACACTCCTTTACCAAAATTTTCCTCTACATGTTTACAACTCTTGTTTATTTTCTTCCCCTTTTTAATCAAATTATTTTCTAAATACTCTCCACTTCTAACTTCTTTTTGAAATGACTCATCAATTCACATTTTTCATTAATGGATTCCTAAATAATAATCAATTCTAACAACCACTGATATACTTTTTTTCCTATTCATCAACTATCATTCAAAACAAAATGTCAAAAACTCAGCAAGCTTATGTATAAATATATAAAAATGAGGAAATCAGTAAAGATTAGTCAAAATACCATCACAGTCCAAAAGCCTAATTTTTCATGATTACATACAGGTTTCTCCTTGGATCTCTACAGGCAATAGAAATATACAGTATAGCAGCACAATATTAATACCTTCCCATCTATGTTTACAGGAAAGGAAAAAGAAAATCATACAAAAACAGTGATATGGCTTAAATAACAGTGATTTTCTTTTTTCACCTTAGGTACGTAAAGATTTAGATTATTGGCCATCATTAAAGGAACTCCATTTCCCTTTCTATGCCGACAAATTTTTAGCTGTTCTGTTGGTCCGTATCTGGAAGATGAAAAACAAAAAATAAAAAGAAGTCATTTTAAAATACCAAATTCTCACAATCCCTTAAACGTAATTAATTCCTGTATTACAACTTTACTGAATGAGGTCATTTGAACAATAAAAACTTGTACCTGTACTATGTATTCAACATTTAATAACTCTTTTTAACTTTCCTGATTGTTTGTTATTTCACTGTGATCATTTAAACCCTATCACTGGGTGAAAAAAAAAAAAAAAAAAAAAACAAGTCTGTAAAAATGAAAAAAATAATTCTATCCACCCTCACAAATCATAATAACAATAACTAAAAGCAACATAAAATATCCACATTTCACTTGCATTTACCTCAAGCTGAGAAAAAAAGACAACAGAGTAAACCACAACTGTAGTCAAAGAACAGTTCCTCTCCAGACTGTATATGTCTTTTTGCAAATATGCCAATGCGATGGTCACCATTAACCATCATGACTTTTGCATAACAGTTCGGATTAATGGAGTGATTTGCAAAGCGGATCTTATTCCCCTTCCTTGTTGCATCAACCACGAAATCTACAAGTGAGAAAATCAGAAATAATCCACACATCTACAAACAGATTATAAATATATTCTTTTCTACTTCTTACTTTATAAGTAAGAGTATAAAAATTAAATATATTAATGTTTATTGAACATACAGACATACTAACAGTCAGACACACACACACACTTGCACTCATTCATGCACACATAAACAAAAACACACTTAAATAAATGATTATCATACAGTTCCATAAAATGGATGAGAGTAAAAAATTACTCATTGGAAGTCCAGAGAGTGACAATAGGCAAGCCTGGATGCAACTTCACAAAAGCTGAACATATTACTCTCACTTCACAAAGACAAGCAGAAATCAGCTGATCGAAGGAAGTTTCAATCAAAGAAAGAGATGAGGCGGGTTAAATAAAACTCTCGTCCTCAACAACAACAACGGAGGAAGCAGTATATTCGTGGGCGATAAAGAAAAAAAAAAAAAACAAAAAAGAAAAAAGAGGTAAAAAAAAAAAAAAAAAAAAGGAAATGGCCGGGCGCCTTCGGCAGTGACCTGGGGTGAACGTCCCGTCTTGGTAGGGGAACGACTTCACGCCAGAAAAAAAGAAAAAAAAGGACCAGAAAAAGAAAAAGAAGGAAATACAAAAAAAAAGTCTCAGAAAAAAAAAAAAAAAAAAAAAAAGATCCTCGCAGTCATTTTTTAAGCATAGCGGTTCTTCCTTGCCGGTCAGAAAAAGAAAAGAAAAAAAAAGAAAGGAAAAAAAGAAGAAAAATGAAAAAAAAAAAAAAGCCGAGGTCACGTAATTTCGTTTCGCCGTCACAGAAGGAAAAAAAAAAAAAAAAAAAAAAAAAAAAAAGAAAAAACGCGAGCCTTCACCAGAAGTTCTAAGAAAAAAGAAAAAAAGAAAAAAAAAAAGAAAAAAAAAAGGGCAAAAAATGAGGGGACGGGGGCGGGCCAAGCGCGCGAACTTCTATCTGGCGGCCGGGGGAAGACAAACTGAATAGAAGGAAAGAGAAGGAAAAAAAAAAAAAAAAAAGACGTGAAAAAGAAAAAAAAAAAAAAAAAAAAAAAAAAAAAAAAAAGAAAAAAAAAAAAAAAAAAAAAAAGAAAGATTACGTCACGACCACTTAAGGGGGGAAGAAAAAAAAAAAAAAGAAAAAGAAAACAAAAAAAAAAAAGAAAATAAAGAAAAAAAAAAAAAAAAAAAAAGAGCAAAACTAGAAAAAAAAGAAAAAAAAATAAAAAAAAAAAAGAGAGAAAAAAGAAAAAAAAAAAAAGAAAAAAAAAGAAAAAGAAAAAATGGGAAAAACAAAAAAAATAAAAAAAAAAAAGGTGACATTGCTCGCAGAGAAAAAAGGAAAAGGAAAAAAAAGAAAAGAGAAAAAAAAAAAAAAAATAAACAAAAAAAAAAAAATAAAAAACAAAAAACAAAATGCAGGAACAGGAAAAGAAAAAAAAAAAAATGAGTATTAACCTGATAACCGGTGGGTCAGCGAATTACATACTTGGGGGTAACGGGAAAAAAACAAAAAAAAAAAAGGAAAAAAAAAAAAAAAAAAAAAAAAAAAAAAAAAGAAAAACAAAAAAAAATAAAAAGAAAAAAAACAAACAAAAAAAAAAAACACAAAACGTGCTGATCGAGATAATGAAAAAAAAAAAGAAAAAAAAAAAAAAAGGAAAAAAAAAAAAGACAGAAAAAAAAAAAAAACAAAAAAAAAAAAAAAAAACCAAAAAAAAAAAAAGAAAAGGAAAAAAAAAAAAAAGGAAGAAAAAAAAAAGAAACAAAAAAAAAAAAAAAAAAAAAAAAAAAAAAAAAAAAAAAAAAAAAAAGAACGGGCGCGAAAAAAAAAAGGACCAGGAAAAAGTTCCTCTCATCCCAGGAAACAAAAAAACAAAAGAAAAAAAAAAAAAAACAAAAAAACAAAAAAAGAAAAAAAAAAAAAAAAATGAAAAAAAAAAAAAAAAAAAAAGGGAAAAACAAAAAAAAAAAGAAAAAAAAAAAAAAAAAAGGCAAAAAAAAAAGAAAGAAAAAAAAGGAAAAAAAAAAGAAAAAAAAGGAAAAAAAAAGTAACTAGAGTCCAGTTCTCACCGCTCAGAAAAAATGAAAAAAAAAAAAAAGACAAGGAAAAAAAAAAAAGACGGGAAAAAAAAAGGAAAAGAGAGAGAATTATTTACCGCTAAATCTCTTTTTACTGTGTTTGAAGCTTTCGATCAAGCTGATTTTCTGCTGCTGTGTGAAGTGAAGTAATATGTTCAGCTTTTGTGAAGTTGCATCCAGGCTTGCCTATTGTCACTCTCTGGACTTCCAATGAGTAATTTTTTACTCTCATCCATTTTATGGAACTGTATGATAATCATTTATTTAAGTGTGTTTTTGTTTATGTGTGCATGAATGAGTGCAAGTGTGTGTGTGTGTCTGACTGTTAGTATGTCTGTATGTTCAATAAACATTAATATATTTAATTTTTTATACTCTTACTTATAAAGTAAGAAGTAGAAAAGAATATATTTATAATCTGTTTGTAGATGTGTGGATTATTTCTGATTTTCTCACTTGTAGATTTCGTGGTTGATGCAACAAGGAAGGGGAATAAGATCCGCTTTGCAAATCACTCCATTAATCCGAACTGTTATGCAAAAGTCATGATGGTTAATGGTGACCATCGCATTGGCATATTTGCAAAAAGACATATACAGTCTGGAGAGGAACTGTTCTTTGACTACAGGTGAGTTGTGGTTTACTCTGTTGTCTTTTTTTCTCAGCTTGAGGTAAATGCAAGTGAAATGTGGATATTTTTATGTTGCTTTTAGTTATTTGTTATTATGATTTGTGAGGGTGGATAGAATTATTATTTTTCATTTTTACAGACTTGTTTTTTTTTTTTTTTTTTTTTTTCACCCAGTGATAGGGTTTAATGATCACAGTGAAATAACAAACAATCAGGAAAAGTTAAAAAGAGTTATTAAATGTTGAATACATAGTACAGGTACAAGTTTTTATTGTTCAAATGACCTCATTCAGTAAAGTTGTAATACAGGAATTAATTACGTTTAAGGGATTGTGAGAATTTGGTATTTTAAAATGACTTCTTTTTATTTTTTGTTTTTCATCTTCCAGATACGGACCAACAGAACAGCTAAAATTTGTCGGCATAGAAAGGGAAATGGAGTTCCTTTAATGATGGCCAATAATCTAAATCTTTACGTACCTAAGGTGAAAAAAGAAAATCACTGTTATTTAAGCCATATCACTGTTTTGTATGATTTTCTTTTTCCTTTCCTGTAAACATAGATGGGAAGGTATTAATATTGTGCTGCTATACTGTATATTTCTATTGCCTGTAGAGATCCAAGGAGAAACCTGTATGTAATCATGAAAAATTAGGCTTTTGGACTGTGATGGTATTTTGACTAATCTTTACTGATTTCCTCATTTTATATATTTATACATAAGCTTGCTGAGTTTTTTGACATTTTGTTGTTGAATGATAGTTGATGAATAGGAAAAAAAGTATATCAGTGGTTGTTAGAATTGATTATTATTTAGGAATCCATTAATGAAAAATGTGAATTGATGAGTCATTTCAAAAAGAAGTTAGAAGTGGAGAGTATTTAGAAAATAATTTGATTAAAAAGGGGAAGAAAATAAACAAGAGTTGTAAACATGTAGAGGAAAATTGGTAAGAGAATGATAAAAAAATTTAAAAGAAAAAAAAAGAAAGAAAACAAGAAAAAAACAAAAATAAGAAAATAAAATCCTTTACGCTGTACTAAATGATAGATTAAATCAAGTATATTCATTGTATTAAATGTGTCAATGTGTTTGGAAGTACTATTAGTATACTGTGCTTCTGGTACAAGTTATATCCTGTTTTGTAATCTGCAGGTTTTGATAAGAGAAAAAGGAAAATATGGAAGGTGGATTTAATTAATATTCTTTTTTTAATAGTACTATGAAGGACCTTGTTTCAAGGTCTAGATTTTGTCTTAGTTCTTTCAATGATATGCTGTTGTTATTTATATGTTATTGTTTTATTTATTTACTTTTTTAAAAAGAAATTTGGTAAAATTTACACTTCCTTTCAGTATACCTGTTAAGTATAACATGTATATTCTTTGCTACAGGATAAAGGTATTCTCTTATGAGTATGCTACTCACATCTCCTTTCATTATGTGTTGCTGTATGAAACTTTTTTTCTTTCTTTTTTCTTTTAAAACCTCCAGAATGTAAATATGTCTTTCTCTTCTGTAGCAATTTTTAAAAAGATATGTCATTTTTTTACTGGTACAGGAACCCTAATTTATTTTAGTTTCAGTCGATACTCTTTTTTTTCTACACTTTAGTTAGGATGTCAGTACATGAAATGCATATATTTACACAAGTAAGAGTGAGCTAGGTTGAATGTGGAGGCTAATGTGTACAAATTTTTTAAAAAGAAGCTCTTGTATTTTCTGATTTTACTCATGCATCCATACTTACATGTATGCATAGCTTTGTTAGGATGCATGTGTATATGCTGATATACATAATGTACAAATATGTGCACTATTAAGCACATGCTCATATACCTGTGTTTATTGTTTCTTAATATTTACATGTACATAGATTAAAAAAAGAAAAAAAATAAATTGACATTTTGTATGTACAACAATGAATTATGTTAAGAAAGAAATCAATTGTCACCTTGTGATAAGTTTGTCTTAATTTGTTTGAACTGTAAAGTTCCACAGGACCACATTTCTTTTCCTAAATTACAAAATTTGTTTAAAATAATTTGTTTCAGCCATGCAAATACAGCAAAAAATATTGTAATATTTACAGCTATGTATTAGTAATAGTTATGTGGTTGACCAGAAGACTGTGACTTATTAAATATTATTTATGATAAAAATGTTCTTACTGATTGAACTCTTACAGAAAAAAAAGATTGGCTAACCAAAATTAAAAGGGGGAAAAAATTAAGTATTGCTTACAGTAGTATTTTTTGTATAAAAATTGGCAGTATTCATTTATATATTTTTAATTTCTTATTTATTATTATTATTTTTTATTCCCTTACTTGTTTTAAAATAGCATTTTCAGATCAAGTAAATCCAAGGGCAGCATGTTCCCACCATACCCCCTAAAACTTTATATTTTTTCTTGTGTAGCATATGGGTCTCATCCTGTTAGGGCCTGGTATAGTAGACTGATAATGTAGACACTTTTATCATTAAGGAAGTGAGCTCCAGAGAAGATCAGGGTTAATATCTCTTGTATGATGAGTTTGTTACACATGTGAGCAGAGTATGTAATTCTTATGTGCATGATGATTAAAAGAGCAATAGAAAAATAGAACGTGTTTAAGGTTAATTTCTGCACTTATTTCTTTTCTACAACCCCCTCCCCCCCCAACCCCCCAGTGTGATGCCAGCTCACAAAGACCGAAGGTGACTGTCTGTAGCTGCGTAGGTGGCTAATGACCATGCCTGTGGTAGCCTGTAGAAATTCCTTTCAATAGTTTTTTGGTATTATCACATGTTATAATATTAAAAAAGTAATATCTACAAAATGTTTTTTTCTTTTCTTTTTTCTTTTTAATTTATTTTTTATTTATTTTATTATTACCTATTTTTTTGGGACCAAACAACAAACAACACACACACAACATACACACACAACACACACACACACACACACACACAACACACACACACACACACACACACACACACACACACACACACACACACACACAACACCACACACAACACACACACACACACACACACAACACACACACACACACACACACACACACACACACACACACACACACACACACACACACACACACACACACACACACACACAGCACCACGGAGGACACTTCCTGGTAAAGGGAACCTTGATGTGCAATATTCAAAATTTTAGTCTATGAAAAAGGAGTAGAAAAATTTATATCAAGATTCAAAACAAACACGAAACGGCCACCAATGGTTCAGTGATAAATGCAAGAAAATGAGATAAAACAGGCAGCTCTTTTGGAAAAGAATCAAAGGACATAGATCTCAGGCAACGTATGAAAGATGTAAAGTAGGAAGAAATGAATATACCCAAACCATGAGGGAGGCAAAATTAGACTTTGAAAAGAAAGTAATAAACCCAACAAACCATTGACCCTGGTTTTTTCATAACTTTAATGTTCAATTAAAAGTAAAGTTAAAAACAAGCAGAATAAATTGTGACTAATTTTTTTAACTGGACGAAGAGACAACATTGTTTATGCTAAGGAGGAAGAAATGTGTAAAATCCTTAACCCACTGACGCTGGTATATTTTGAAGCTGAAAATAATATTTTCCGGGCAGCCACAAAAGTGGGGCTGGCCCGGAATCTGCCCGTATTCGGCGTGCTAGCTCTGATCCAACGTCACACTAGCAGGACACCCGGCAATGTTTATTTTTCCGGGTGTCTCATATATGGGACACCTGTCGTAAATTGGCTAATAAGAAATTTCAGTCACTGGTATGGACCCATATTTTGATAAGGCAAATACCTGTACAGATGTAAAGAACAAAGGTAATACCACCCTCAAAAGGAATGAAATAAAAGACCTCCTAAAAGGATTAGACAAGACCAAAGCAGAGGGACCAGATCTGATTTTTGACTGGGTTCTTTGGAAATGTGCCAAAGAACAAATGTACTCCTTTATTTTGTTAATATTCCAAAATACTGAGACAAGGAAAATTACCAAAAAGTTAAAAACTCATTACACCCATATATAAGAGCAGTGACAACCAATACCCACTAATTTATAAACCAGTTTCATTAACTAGTATATCCCCCCAATCCCTTGCCCATTGTTGTTGTGGGGGGTTTAGGAGACGCAGACTGAGACCCATTGCAGGGATCTCCCCTGCCTAGGGCCTCAGCCCTTTACTTAACTAATTTTACATGGTCTTTTCTCCCTCCAGCTATTTTGTTTCCGTCCCTTCTCCAACCCCTTCTACTATCTACTTCCCAAGGTTTAACCCATTGCCGATGGGTAGAAATGTTTGGCAAGTGGACGTATGGATGGGCTTGTTGGCAGGCATTGGCAGTTTCCCCTGTTTGCGCTTGGCTTGATCGGTAGTTTGTGAGCGACATTTAGTACCTAAAAGCTTTTATTTTGCTAAAATTTATAAAAATATTAAAATTTTGAAGGTTTACCTTTATTTTAGGTGCCTTTGCCTAAAATCTTTACCATATAAATGAAGCCGCTACTATCGAAGAAACACAACCTCCGTTCGACGAGCCAGTGGCACGGGAATGGGCATGACATGATGCCCTCCGGTGTTTGGTCCACAACAGCCATGGCATTTACGTACGTGCCACCCGACGGCAACGTGTTAAGAGCCATGCTGAAAGGATGAAAGGACTTTGTGCCAGTCCTGAATGGTCTGAGGGAACCATGGGCACAGTATTCCCCTGTTTTGTTGTTTAGCCCTTACCCCTCAAGAGGACCCTGAGGGGTGGACTGTTTATTTCCACAACATAGCCAAGGCTCCCCATGGCCAATAAGGAAAAAATAATACCCATATTAAAGGCATTAAGGCTTACCCCTTCATCAAATAGCCCCACCAATTCAAATTCTCCCAGCTCACTGACCCCAGGCTCTCCTTTGACCACGACTATACACTACAACTTCTACCTACTCAATACCTACTAGTGCACTATCCACCCAAGTTGAGACTCCTACTTTCCCAACTTCATCAGTTCTACCCCCACAGCCTTCTTCACCAATCACGTCTTCTTCCCTTATTACTACCTTACAGCCTTATTCTCCATCTCCATAATACTACCCCCTCAACAATACTCCCTCTCCCACACGGGACGTGTGGAAGAGGGAGTACCTTCTACCACCCATAACTCTACCAATATCTTGAATACTCTGTTTAGCCCAGCCAAATGGGACCAATTTTTTGTGATCCCCCTACAGCTCCTTACTCAGAAAACACTCTTCTCTTTCAACAATGTCTCCAAATGCAAGTGGGTAGAATCCCTTTCTGTACCTGACCCGATTTTTCCTGTCTCATTACAGTTACATCTGAAACTAAAGCTATAGCATCAAATCAAACTGATTTCTCTGGCAACCCCATTCCTGCAGAACCTCATCCAACTCTTTATACTTGTAATGGAACACTTGTACCAGTATAACTGATCAAACTGCCCTGCACAAACACGTACATGTAACTGCAGCGGCCCCCATAATGTTTTATAGAGGCTGACCTACTTACA